ACATCACCGTATGGTTTACGTAAACGAAACGGTGTATGATTACTTCAAAATGACAAGAACAATAAAAAACATTTCAATCTTCTATATTTTTTCTCTACAAGAAAATAATATATTTTGTCATTTGATTATAACTAAAGACAAACAAGCTCTTAAAATTCAAAAAACTATGACAGATTTAGCTTATTACTATAATTATATATAAAAAATAGTTACACCGTGAGTATACCCACAATGCAAGTATATGCTAAGAATCATACTTACAACGCAACTATCCTTTACTATTATTTTTCTAAATCAAGCAATAATTTGAGAAATATTTTTAATATCTTTCGACCAAATGTCGCTCGACGAATTATCATTCGACGAAACGTCATTCGACGAAACGTCAATCGACGAAACGTCATTCGACGAAATATTATTCGACGAATCGTTTTTTTCCATTCGACCAAAAGTTCATTCGACGAAAATTCATTCGACTAATGGCTACCAACTCGAAAACTTGATGGAAGAATTATTATTATACCGAGTTTAGATCTTTGTATAGCAGCGTCACTTGCTAGATGATCCATCAGATGTTTGTACAGTTCTACTCGATGAATCTTCTGATTTTGTCGATGAAATGGTTTTGCTCAGTTTTAACATATGTATCCACAATATACTGCTGGAATACTTTTCCTGCATGATGTATAGCACTGAAATTTTGACGAACAGCCAATCGATAGCTATAGAATCAAAGCATAGATACACTTTTCCGATTTCGCGATCTACCGGCTTTTTCCAGTTCTGGATGGCATCCCTCGCTTTCATGAAGAAATAAAATTGGGTACGTCATTGGGTCACAATGGGCATGCAAGATGGAAATCGTTTGTAGATTCTGTTAGTGAACAGCGACATGGCGATATTTCGGAGCCTCTACATTGTCCCCGATGAAAGCCGCTGCTACTTCATTGGCTCGTGGAATACTATATCGACGCTGATCTCGTATTCGACAATTGTTATCAAAAATTATTCGAATTGAAGCAGATGCTCGTTTCTTTCTATTACATCGATGAATCTCTTCTTGCTCAACGTCATGGACCATTTTAAACGCGGCAGGAAACTAACTGATTCTTGTCATTACATTGCCTAGCATTTTCATGATAGTTCCATTGTAGCGATAATTGTCAACACTTCCCATTCGCTCTTATAAGGTCAGAGCCGAATCCAAGATGTACAGCTGACCGTACTGAGCCCTCTGGTCTGCTCCTGGATGAATCACACCGATTCGGTGATAAATCTGCCCATGGACTTGAAAGCAGTACGGTCAGCGAGTCGTTGGTGCAACAATCTGAGCAGCCAATGATGCAAATGCCAGAGCGCTATTGTAATTTCGAACATGTTCTCTGAAATTTCTATCATCTACATCTGCATCTTGCAGAAGGACTTTCATTTCATCTGGATATGGCAGCAGTGAAGGAAGCTCAACAGATCCACAGTGATAACATTGCTTGTATTCATCTTTTCTCCCAGATGCGATCTCACACTTAAAGTGTAGTGCGCCGCAGTGTCGACACTTAGAATCCATTCTACCGAGGTAGCCATAAGATACAATAGCCCTATCCATTTCAACATGTAGAAAAGATTCAACACGTTCTCGACGACTCCGATGACGTAAGGCATCCCGCTTTTTTCGATTCTTCGAACCCTCCTTGTTTTCAAGTTTTCGACTCTTCCGATCTCGCTCAGTATCAGCACTGAACCGCTTCTGTCTCCCCATGCTCGGCTCCTTTGCACGTCTTTCCCGGATCCGTTCCGATCTCCTCAGCAATTTACCTCGGAGACATGTTTTTGATTGAGGTTCACCACTGAAAATACTATTGGCAGTTTGGCCATTATTTGCTGATCCAACTATTGATATGGACAGAACACCAGTCAAATCGGATCGCTCCATACTGAGAGTAGGTCTCGACACCCACACTCACACACCAATGATTCTGCTGCACTTTCCGACACTATTTATACCCTTGATCAGGTCCAATCTAATTGGTTGACTAGGGACGACCAATCAGATTCGAGCTGACGCTTTCTTCTTCAGGAATGGGTCCTGTCAACTTGGTTCTATGATTGAATTTGTAGCGGTCGACCTTCTCTCTTGGCTGATGCGCTCAATTGAATGACTCACCAAGAAAAAAACGGAGGAAATGCTTCGTCAAAACCGATTGGTTGAAAAAATGGACCAATGGGAGAGGGGCCTGACAGACACTCAACATTATTATATAGATCTGTAATATCTCAACAAGATTTGTTAAAAGCCATAGCAACCATTGATAAGTTTGAAACGAAAAAACGTATCTATAATCAATAATGCATGTTTTTATCTCATAAGAGTGTTTTGAACCATATGTATCTAATATATAATTTATATTGTTTTTTTCTCGAATGTGTGTGTATTCTTGAAAAAAATTGATTTTAATAGTGAAATAACATTTCAACTTTCTTTTCTATCAATACAGTATATAAAAATAAATTATGGGTGATGTAAATAATATTGTTTTAACATAAATACGGTCAATGTATTATCATAAATGTTGAAAAATTGACTTCGGAATTTTTTCCGAATTAATGTAAAAAAATTTTGAAATTCCCCTAATTTTCCGATTTTCTCCATAAGAAAATCCCATTTCTGACTTTTTGATCTGGCAACCCTGTTTTGGGTGTGAGTGTAGGTATGTCTGTGCCTTATAGAAATGCCGAGTAGCCGTACCACATACTTTGGGATGTCTTCAAATTGGTGGCATTTGTATCATTTCTCGATGACGAAATATCGATATTTCAGATATCAAGTGTTTCTTGAATGGCTATAAGAGCATCGAATTAGTAATAATAAAATTACAGAGGTTGATGTGGATTGGTAGTGTGACATGTTTTCGTCGTGATGCAATGGCGTATTCAATCCCAGGAGAAAAGATTGTTTATTTGCTTTGTTGTTTTTTGTGCATTTTTATAATCCTTTGCGCTAGTTACTATCCATTGATGAAGATGAGTGGCCAATCATTTGGTTCATATTATCCAATGAAAGAAATTGATGTAGAAACGGCAAGTTTTGTTTGTCTTCCAATCACTTCCAATAAAAGTGGAACGAAATTACTTGCTAGAAATGAGCTTTATCTTCGATATTTAACTGAGTATGAATCCATTCCTGGCTGGGTTAATTACGGTATTTTTTATGCCTTATGGGTAATTATTCGGTTTCAATATGAAGAACTACATATAAATGATGGGGCTATTGGTGAAATAGGAGTGCATGCAGGTAAACTGCCCTCTTATTTGTACTTACTGCGCCATCTACCACAGAATATTCTAGGAATGCCCATATGAATTCAGTCTTGAATTTCTATTTTCTTGAAAATAAAATATCGATATTCAAATTTGAATTTTATACAGTAAATTAAATTGAATTTATATTCTTTGGAAAATCAAACATTTTCTAAATAATAGAAATTCGATGAATGAGTCATAAAAGTTTGAAATGCTGTAGCTTATTTACAGTCCATTTTCTACAAAATAGAATTTAAAAACAAATTACAGTGTAGCTCCTTACTTTCATCAGCTATTTCTTAGAAACAAACAAGCTCAGGACACTCTCTGCAAAGATGCAGTCAAAAATACTTCCGAAGTAACGATCAGCCATTTCCAACATAATTGATTCTCAAATATTTTCCACATACTAATATAAACGAACCGTCAATGATATCTCTCACTTACAATTCACCTTTGAATCAGAAAACATCCTACAAAGGAATGCAACATGAAAAACATATATGTGATTTTCGACTCATTGGAACATTTATGTCAGATAAAACTACCCCATGAGATCCTTAAGCAAAGTCGAAACGCGTCATGGTTGCTATTCAAACACACCCACACCCACACCCTTCTTATAGAAATATTGAAAATCATTTGAGTAAATTGGCATTCCATCAGTGAAAATAAAATATATAATCAAGAATTCAATCTTTTTTCAATCGGCTTGTGTCAAAAATCCTCTAAATTCGGCTCAATATCATATGTAAAAATGGGTCAAATCAGAGATATCGATTGAGAAACCATCGCAGGATTCGGCCACAACTTACATGAAATGACTGTTAAATAAAATAATNACAATAATGTCGGGTTTGCTGTCGCCATTGACATCGGTTGCTACCACAACTACTGGGTTAGTGCCAGTTGAGTAGGTCGTTTGAGCAGCAAACGTGCCGTTGCCTGTGTTGAAGAGAACACTGACATTGCTCGAACCATAGTTTGTGACAATAATGTCGGGTTTGCCGTCGCCATTGAGATCGGCTGCTACCACAAAGGCTGGGCTAGTCCCAGCTAAATAGCTCGTTGGAGCAGCAAACGTGCCGTTGCCTGTGTTGAGGAGAACACCGACATTGCTCGAACCGTAGTTTGCGACAATAATGTCGAGTTTGCCGTCACCATTGACGTCGACTGCGTCTAGAGACCTAGGTTTAGAGCCAGCTGAATAGGCCGTTCGACCAGTAAACATAATACTACATTCAGCTATTCCGAAACAAAAATAATGTTTTTAGCACCTGTATAATTATGCAGAAGTACTGTCTCATCGCTGCGATTCTACTAACAAATGGCTGCATCCCGATCGGGGCCGGCGAGACGGGGATGGGGACTGAATGATGTCCCTCAGTCTTGGAAATTTTTCTGTTTCCTGGCGAAGTTGAATACGTTCCCACATTCTTTACAGTTTCCATGGCAACCCTATCACCTCAGAAATCGATGAACTTCACCCTCAGTCGTCGCCGCTTCCTGCAGCTGTTCTCTGCTAGTTCATTCTTTATTTGGTGTGGTAATGCCACCTCAAATGTTTTTCTACTGAAACTCAACTGAATCAATCTTGAACTCGATCGAAACACCAAACGATGTGAGCTCCTCCTCAATCGAGCTCACCAGATTTTCCTTAGCTACAGGTAGTTGAATAGATGAATAGATTACAGCATGTCTCCAATGGAAAGGGATGAGAAAATTTTTCGATTCAATTGGATAAGCCAATGGTCAATTCAACAAGCGTCTTATAACTTTTTTCAAAAATAGGCTTGAATCTACTTAAAGGAAGCTCATTCCCTCCGTAGAAGGGCTACCCTCAAGATGATCAAGATGAAAGAAAGAAGGTAGACAAGACAGAGGGGAGGACAGGGCAGAAGAATTAGAAAGAACTTTTGTGACAAGTTAGTACTATCCATTTCAAAATACAGTTGATGGTCAGTGTACCTTAAATAACTCTAGAACGCAAGTAGTTAGTCTTACTACCGACTATAAAAGATTTAGTTAGGTGTACTAATTGCAGTTAGACTAACTTAACTGCAACAGCCACGCTTACTAAGGAAGATTTTTCTTAATGTTTGAATTCGAATAGCGGATCAATAAATTCCTTTTTGTTCGGATGACTGCAAAACGAAGCAGAATTTGAAAAATCCAGGCGAAGTCGTTTCTTTTTTTGTTTTTTATTCATTGAAATTAGTTTAAATAGCTTCAAACTGTCGAAGACAGGAGAAAAATGTTTCTTGCTATCACGTACTTTTGACTAGTCTCGATTTTTCTCTTGGACACAAAGCTTCGATTGATTGAAACGTTTTTCATGATCGGCTACACTGATGACTGACATCCAAAAAATGTTCAACATAATTGGTTGGCAGGGACCCAATATCAATTCCTGTGGTGGGGAGGATCTTAAAGAGATGTACCGTATAGAGCTTTCCAGAACTGGCTTTAATCGATCGAGTAATGTATAATAATAGTGAAATCAGTTAGGTTTTAGTAAAATTATGGGACAAATAATGAAGTTTTCAGCGCGATCCCTACGTGATTTAAATGTGAAACACGATGGAACTGCTTCCATAGTGGACAAAAAAATCATGTAATCAAATCACTTACAGCACTCGGCACTTTCATACATTTGTTTCCCTTGATTTTTTCAGCGGTGATAAGTGGACGCCTATCACCAGCGCAAATGTCAGCCGGCCTCCTGTAATTGGACAGGCTTCAGTGGGCCAGTAGGCCGGCGTTTTAGTTTTGGTCGGCTGTGGGGAAGGACAAGCTAATCCAGTCCAGATGATCAGGTCAGATGCAAAAAGTAGCCTGTTAGTACATCTGATCTATCTATTATTGATACAATACAAATCAATATCAAAACACACTCCACAGACTGAGTGTGCTTAGAAACACGTGACTCCTATAGAATGAGACAAATAGAGGGTCGTAACAGGTGACGAACGTCCATGTACAAGTCATTGATGTACCAAAAAATACGTCCCTCGTTCAGGACTAAATTAAAGAGGTGGTTACAGCAACCGCTGGACGTCCACTTATAAGTCATAGAGGTAACGAACATATGACCAATATGTAATTAAATTTACATCGCTAATGGCTTTTTCTTTCTGTTTGTCTCTCTTCTATTTATATTTTTTTATTCTCTCTCTGATATATAAGCTCGAGCTATATATGAAATAAGAGAGCATTTATTAGTTCTGAGTTGTTCGTGAAAAGATACTCTAAATTAAAATGTGTCGCATATGTGTTGTGAGTTATGGTGTCGCAGTTTCAGTGTCGGAAATATGTCGCAGGTTCAGTGTCGGAAATGTGTCGCAGGTTCAGTGTCGGAAATATGTCGCAACAGAATGTGTCGCTAATAAATTCGTCTCGTTCTTTGTGACGACTATCGATTCGTCCTTTTCTTTTGCGTAGAAGCCTCTATATAGAGAACCGATTGAACATGCGAAGATGATGTTTTTTCATTCAAATATTTTTAGATTACTTCTCGATTATTACTTAGTCGACTGAAATGGTCTGGTACAAAACCGGACCAACTCAAGACCGAACAGATCTTAACATCTGACCTGCTTGAGTTTTCAGGATATGTCGTACAAAATGTGTTGTGCCATCACTGGAGATACTATATCGTAAAGAGCACCTTGTGTCGCACTTGAATGTGTCACAAATCCCGACACATGCGACACATTTAAGCTTAGTGTGGAGTTCGCTAGAAATAGTTAGTAGTAGAACGTAGTCGGAAAATAGTTAGACTTGACTTGAATTGAGAAACGTACACATAGAATTAGTGTGTGTACAAAGAATCTTATTGTGTGTAATTGCTGTGTGTAATACATACATATATTATTATTAGCGGTATTGTTGTCTTATTTGTTTTGTTTATTATGAGCTATTTATCAAATAAATCATTACAATTGCCTATTATCCAGACATTGTTAGCTATAATACTTGTAATCCTCCACAATTTATTATCCACTATCTTATCTCGGTATATACGCAATTCTATATATCCGGATATCTCTACCACGAATATTAATTAAGTTAGTTACACTGAGTAAAACACTCTTATGTGAAAAAGCACCCCCGTCGTCGTATTCAACTGTCAGAATCGGAGAAAAGTAACTTTTCATTTCGAAAAGTCTTTTGTGAGCTAGAATCCGCACTACTTGTCTAAATTTGAGATATTTCGAAGTTTCAAAACCAAATGTTTCAAATCTCGTGAGGTCAATCCTTTCTTGAATAGCTACATGAAGTGCTAATCATTCAAACTAAAACTTACTGATTGCTGCTGTCGTCGGCTTTGGCATACTTATAACCCAAAGAGGATTCGTGACTAGAGCTGATCGTAAGAAGGGTTCGTAGCAGTTCGCGCAAAAATGTTCTATTTTTGTTGAGAACCACGCATGCAAAAGTTGCTGTTTGGTCGATTTTTACTCTAACGTGGTACGTGTTACCGTCATCTGTAATGTAAATGTTTGGCAACAGCTTTTCTCGTATAGCGTCGATGCAGAACAGATGTACTCGCCAAAATTGTTCTCTACGCTATTATGAATCTGGTATAAACTGGGGGGGGNACCACTGCCACCCCCCCCCCCCCCCCCCTCCCCCCCCCCCCCCCCCCCCCCCACCCGCCCCCCCCCCCGGCCGCGGGCGGCGTTACTTTACCAAGTAACTCGTAACGGCAATCAGTTATTGTTACCAGCCAATGTAAATGTTCAGTAACAGTTTCACTAAGTGTAATTTCTGAATAGCTTATTTTGTTCAGCTACCGGTACTCTTATGTTCTGGTATATTGTGTGAAAACTGTGATTCATCTATTAAAGCACTAGTAGATCCGACTTTTCGGAAAAGTTTTTGATGAATTTTATAAGAATCGGTGGGCTGTCAAACGTCAGGCCCGGCTGATTTTTCAACCAAATACACTAAAACTTGAGATTTATAGGTTTTAGGCATTGCCAATTCAGATGCACATGTCAAATAAAAAAAGTAAATATTGGCCGGTGCCTGAGTCGACGCATAGATTCTCTGTTAAAACTCAACTGAGGCTTACACGCAATTCTGATTTCATGAATTTGTCTTTTCATTAAAATAAATCAAAGTCTCTAGTTCAAAACGTTTGGTGGCTTTTAACCGGAAAAGTACTGTTCAGGTTAATCGAGATGTAAAAAAACATGACCTTTCTGTCATCGATCTTTGACTCAACAGAAGATATAATGAGAAGCTCAGATAAACTCATTGGAAATGGGGTGCGCACAGAGAATTGCGGCAACAGCAGCGACGGCTATCAAAATAATGGCACCAATGAAGGTTCAGCGATTCGGGCGTCGTTTTAACTTGGCATAAACGTTTGGGCCTGGATCCGTCGGTAGTACTAGTCGATGTACTTTTGAACGTAAGTACCAGCTAGAATTTTTCAGTTAAGCTCTATTAATGTTCCTTACTTGTACAGGAAGATCGTATTTGCCGGGCACACTTGGCATTGGTAGGCCGCCACCATTATTTAGTGTCTGGAGCATCGACACAGCTCGTCAAATTTTTTCCTGACCGCTACCGACCAGATCGGACTGAACCAGCCGATCTCGACACTGGTAACTGGTCCGATTTATATGGAATTTCGGTCTGATCATAATCATTACAAAAGTATGCAGTTTTTCGAGCGATTTGTCAACTATATCTGAGGATATTCCTCTCAGGGCACAAAAAACACCCATGAAGCAATGTCAAGAAAATTAAAAAGTCAGAGGCCTCTCCGACTGGTAGGTCGACCAGCTTACCGGCAGCCGATCAAAACTCCTGACCTGTACCGAAACGGAGCAGACCTGATTGAGCTGAACCGGCTGGTAGCGGTTCCATCTATAACCTGAGGATCGATGTCATCTATCCTTCATATTTTCAGGGCTAATAGATATATAGTGCAGACAATGTTGTTCAGCAATAGAATAGTACGAGTGATCGGAGTTTCCTTCCATAAACATGAACGTCCAGGCGTCAGCGCAGACCGGTTGGGGTAGAATTGCCCTGTTAGATAGCTCTTTTTTTCACTTTATTGTTTCTAGATGTCCTCGCGGTCTACTTTTCATAATGCTGCTATATATCCAAGGTTTTCTAGAGACCCTCTGGGAAACCCGACGATTTCGGAGTAACAAGCTATCGATTTTTACTATCAGAGGATATATTCTGACATCGTGCAAGAAATAGTTTGTA